GTGCGGGCGCCCTGTAGTCCAGCACTCGGCACGGCTCGAGGCCGAGAATGGCGTGAAGCCCGAGGCGAGCCCCTTCGTGACTGAGAATCCGAGCCACTGCACTCCGCCTGGGCCACAGAGCCGAGACTTCGTCCAAAAAAAAAAAAAAACAACAACGAAAAAAAGGTAATCTATCATCATCTCATTCTTTTTTGTTTTTTTTGAGATGGAGTCTTACTCTGTCACCCAGGTGGAGTGCAGTGGCGAGATCTCAGCTCACTGCAACCTCTGCCTCCTGGGTTGAAGCGATTCTCCTACCTCAGCCTCCCAAGTAGTTGGGATTACAGACGTGTGTCGCCATGCCCAGCTCATTTTTGTATTTTTAGAAGAGACAGGGTTTCACCATGTCGGCCAGGCTGATCTTGAACTCCTGACCTTAGGTGGCTCACCTGCCTCGGCCTCCCAAAGTGCCGGGATTACAGGTGTGAGCCACCGCGCACAGCTCTATCCTCTCAATCTTTACATCAACTGAATCATATCCTACATGCTACTTAATACAATATATAGAAAACTTTTATGCCACTATTTGTGCTTATTTCTTTTTCTGTGTGCTTTCTAATGTTTCTCCCCCTTATTCCTCAGATGATAGATGATGAGGAAGAGCGCTTCTGTGGTGTGCGTCTACAGACTTCACCCCCAGTGGAACCCCTGACCTTTGGTGCCCATTATATTGTGTCTAATTCTGCTCATCTGGAAATAATACCCACGGTTGGTAGAATTCAAATCTAACAACGGATTTCAGAATGTTTTGTACTTTTGAAACAAATAGAAGAATTTTAGCAAAATGCAATTTTTTTCATTAATCACGAATACAAAGTTTTTAAAAAATTGAAAATACAGGAAAACAGTCTTAATCAAATTAAATATTTCCAAAACCTTAACACAGGCAGAGGTAACATTTTAGCCTTTGGGGTACTTATATTGTGATTAAAAGTGTACATTTAGTTATCTGAATTGAAGTTTCCCCTTCTCTGTTATGGTTCCCTGCAGGCCTGACATCTTGCCTAGCTAAGTCACTTAACAAATATTTGTTGAGATGTTTGAATGAAGAAATATAATATCTTGGCTGGGCTCGGTGGCTCATACCTGTAATCCCAGCACTTTGGGAGGCCGTGGCAGGCAGATCATGAGTCAAGAGTTCGAGACCAGCCTGACCAACATGGTGAAACCCCTTCTCTACTAAAATACACAAAAAATTAGCCAGGTGTGGTGGTGCACGCCTGTAATCCCAGCTACTCAGGAGGCTGAGGTAGGAGAATCACTTGAACCCAGGAGCTGGAGTTTGCAGTGAGCCGAGATAGTGCCACTGCACTCCAGCCTGGGCGAAAGAGTCGGACTCCATCTCAAAAACAAAAACATAAAATTAGAAAAGTAAAAGAAATATATTTTATATTATATGTTACATTTTTGTATTTTTACTGGAGATTACTGTATATTTCTGCACAATTGAAATTATTCCTACATATTATTTTAATAGGACATAATATGCCATGTAGCTAAAACCCTAGAGCTTTTAAAATCACTTCATTATTATTCAGCATAGTTGAGTTCCTTATAGTTTCTCATAACAAGTGTCCTGGCAATAAATATTTCAATTCATACAGTTTTGCATTTTTCATGTGCAGCTAGGGTGCCCTAAGAGAAATGACTGATTCAAAGAGAACTCACCAAGTTAAAGCTAGTGCATTTCCAAAGAGATTTGCAAAGATTTCCCACAATATAAGTTCTCAAGAATAAAGGACGAGAGTATCCAACAAAATATCCATCTCTAGAATAAAGTATCAAAATTTAATTGTTTTCCAATTTGAATGGGAAAAAAATGCATCTCAGTCCATTTTATTTTTTGTTATTGTTGTTTCTTTACTTTTTTGAGACAGAGTCTCACTCTGTCTCCCAGGCTCGGTGCTCACAGCAACCTCCTCCTCCCTGGTTCAAGGGATGCTTATGCCTCAACCTCCCAAGTTGCTGAGATTACAGGGGTGGGCCACCATGCCTGACTAATTTTTTGTATTTTTAGTAGAGATGGGGTTTCACCATGTTGCCCATGGCTGGTCTCGAACTCCTGACCTCAGGTGGGGCCCACCTGCCTCTGTAGACTCCACCTCTGGGGGCAGGGCATAGCTGAACAAAAGGCAGCAGAAACTTCTGCAGACTTAAACGACCCTGTCTGACAACTCTGAAGAGAACAGTGGTTCTCCCAGTGAGGTGTTTCAGCTCTGCCTCCCATGTAGCCCAACTTGGAGACACCTCCCAGTAGGGGGCTGACTGACACCTCATACAGCCAGGTGCCCCTCTGAGATGAAGCTTCCAGAGAAAGGATCAGGCAGCAATATTTGCTGTTCTGCAGCCTCCGCTGGTGATACCCAGGTAAACAGGGTCTGGAGTGGACCTCCAGCAAACTCCAACAGACCTGCAGCTGAGGGACCTGATTGTCAGAAGGAAAGCTAACAAACAGAAAGGAATAGCATCAACATCAACAAAAAGGACATCCACACCAAAACTTCATCTGTAGGTCACCATCATGAAAGACCAAAGGTAGATAAAACCACAAAGATGGGGAGAAACCAGAGCAGAAAAGCTGAAAATTCTAAAAACCAGAGCGCTCCTTCTCCTCCAAAGGATCGCAGCTCCTTGCCAGCAATGGAACAAAGCAGGACAGAGTGACTTTGATGAGTTGACAGCAGTAGGCTTCAGAAAGTCGGTAATAACAAACTTCTCCAAGCTAAAGAAGCATGTTCTAACCCATCGCAAGGAAGCTAAAAACCTTGAAAAAAGATTACACGAATGACTAGAATAAACGGGTAGAGAAGACTTTAAGTGACCTGATGGAGCAGAAAACTATGGCACGAGAACTATGTGACACATGCACAAGCTTCAGAAGCCAATTCAATCAAGTGGAAGAAAGGGTACCAATGATTGAAGATCAAATGAATGAAATGAAGCGAGAAGTTTAGAGTAAAAAGAGTAAAAAGAAAAGAACAAAGCCTCTAAGAAATATGGGACTATGTGAAAAGACCAAATCTACGTCTGATTGGTGTAACTGAAAGTGACAGGGAGAATGGAACCAAGTTGGAAAACACTCTGCAGGATATTATCCAGGAGAACTTCTCCAACCTAGCAAGGCAGACCAACATTCAAATTCAGGAAATACAGAGAACGCCACAAAGATACTCCTCGAGAAGAGCAACCCCAAAACACATAATTGTCAGATTCACCAAGGTTGAAATGAAGGAAAAAATGTTTAGGGCAGCCAGAGAGAAAGGTTGGGTTACCCACAAAGGGAAGCCCATCAGACTAACAGCGGGTCTCTCTCGGCAGAAACCCTACAAGCCAGAAGAGAGTGGGAGCCAATATTCAACACTCTTAAAGAAAAGAATTTTCAACCCAGAATTTCATATTCAGCCAAACTAAGCTTCATAAGTGAAGGAGAAATAAAATCCTTTACAGACAAGCAAATGCTGAGAGATTTTGTCACCACCAGGCCTGCCTTACAAGAGCTCCTGAAAGAGGCACTAAACATGGAAAGGGACAACTGGTACAAGCCACTGCAAAAACATGCCAAATTGTAAAGACCATTGATGCAAGGAAAAAAGTGCATCAACTAATGGGCAAAATAACGAACTAACATCATAATGACAGGATCAAATTCACACATAACAATATTAACCTTAAATGTAAATGGGCTAAATGCCCCAATTAAAAGACACAGACTGGCAAATTGGATAAAGAGTCAAGACTTATCAGTGTGCCGTATTCAGGAGACCCATCTCATGTGCAGAGACACACATAGGCTGAAAATAGAGGGACTGAGGAAGATCTACCAAGCAAGTGGAAAGCAAAATAAAAAGCAAGGGTTGCAATCCTAGTCACTGATTAAACAGACTTTAAACCAACAAAGATCAATAGAGACAAAGAAGACCATTACATAATGTTAAAGGATCAATTCAACAAGAATAGCTAACTATCCTAAATATATATGCACCCAATACAGGAGCACCCAGATTCATAAAGCAAGTCCTGAGAGACCTAAAAAGAGACTTAGACTCCCAC